CTTCTTTGTCAGCTGCCACTCGGTCCTGGCGTCTCTTGCTGTTCTGCTATCCGCCAATTTGCTGCCAAGCTCGTGAAAGTACTGGTTGCGGTCGGTACTCAGCTGGTGTCTGAACGTGTCCTTGGTGTGGGCGATGAAGAGCCTCGCAGCGTCATGCGTGATGCCGAGGCAGTCGGTGGTGTGACTGAGCTGGCACGCTCCAACAAGGGCTGCCACGGAGCGGTACCAGCTATCTTCCACACGGGCATAGACAGGCGCCTCGTGGCAGAGCCTCTTGCGGAAAACTTCTAGAGGTGCTGGGTCCCCGTTGTTCGTGTAGGTCCGCGTGGAGCTCTCAGCGTATCTGCGCAGCCTCAATAGGCGCATGCTGGCCTCTGAGATTGTGACGTTGCAGGGGGTAAGCGGGTCCCGTCCGAAATGCTGCTTCGTCTTCTCGACAAGGAGTCCCGCTGTCTCGTGGTAATGGTCGCTGACGTCTGCCTTCCACGGTGGCAAGCTGATGCTGTTCAGGTCCTGCTTGAATGCGGTGATGCGCTCTGGGTTCTTGAGTTTGTTAGTATCCAGTAGCCCGTTCCCCTTCGAACTTCGGTGGCGCCCGATGATTTCGCCCACAACTTCAACTAGCACGGGCATGTGGTCTGTGGTCGTGTCGTAGCCGTTCTGGGCGTAGTTCCTCCTCTGCTTGTTGTGCTCGTTCTTCTTTTTGGCGGTTGGCTTTTGAAAGTCTCTCAAGACAGTGCAAGCCGCCACGCACTTGAACAGGCAGGGAGCCATGGCGACGTAGTCGATGCGGTTGGAGATCCCGTCCTTGTGGTATGTGTAATCGTCGCTGTTCCCGTAGTATGTGTTGACGACGTGCAGGTGGCAGCTGGCGACAGACTCGTGGAATTCGTGTCCATTCTTGTCTGTCAGCTGATTTGGACCTTTCTGGCCCAACCATTGAGTGTCCTCTCCGTCCTTGTGGCTTAGCTTGGCGTTCGCGTCGATGAGCAGGATCTCTGGTTTCCACGTGTCACACAGCTCCCTGAAGTGCTCCCACCAGCCGTTGATGTCCTTGGCCTTCTGGTACGGGGCATGAGCAACGGCGATGACGTGATGGAACAAAGGAGCCTGCACGCGGACAAAGAGAATCCTGGCTGACGAGTACAGTTTTGTAAGCTGGGGCTGCTTGAAGTACAGGTCTTTCCCTTTGAGCTGCCCGTACGGTAACTCGACGTTGAGTAGTAGTGCACATCCCCAGTTGCCGTCCTGCGCATCGCTCTGGATGTTGGTAAAACCTTGCCCTGTCCATATGGCCTCTCTACAGCGTGTCTCCTGCAGCCCCGCGACGTGGACATGATGGTCCAGGAGCTGGGCTCTGAATAGAGCCCCTTTACTGGAGATGTCCAGGTGCAGGTCTGTGGCGGTGAAGTCGCCCACCATGGACTGAGCGTTGTACTGCACGATGTTGAGCTTCAGCGTGCCCTTGTTGTAACTATCTGCGGTGAGGTCGGGGATGTGGTCTGCGTCAGCCCGCTGGGGCGAGACGTGCTCCTCGAGCTGTCCATGCCTCCACGGTGGGTACGCATGTAGGTCCTTGCCCGCAGGATTAGCCATCCAAGCCCATTCGAGTGTGCTGGTATACCGTACTATATCGACTAGCTCTTCCGCAGGTGGTGGTGGCGCTGGTTGGAGTGCTGCATATTTTGATAGAATATCTGCTGCCTCATTCCAGGGTGCGTCTCGATGCGCATGAGTGTGCTCGAAGCTAATGTCCTTTGTGAGCTGCAATTGCTGGAATAATATGCGTGTAAACCTCGAGAGAGGGCGGTTCCTAGTCGATCTGATCCGCGATGTTCCAGCTGCCGCTCCCAAAGCCGCGGTGTTGTCTCCGATAATGACGATTTCCTGCTCATCGTCCTCCTGTGTACATGCGATGCCTGCCCAGAGTAGCGCTCCCAATTCGGGGCTGGTGCTGGAGGTGATGTTGTTGGCCATCTCCTCGCTGACGGACAGGGCGTGGTTGGAGTACATGTGCCTGTAGTAGGCAATGCCCTGGTCGTCTTCTCTCAGGTGTACCACTGCCCATGCTGATGTACCCGGTGCTTTGGCGTGGTAGGACGCGTCAGTGAAGTAGTAGTGCCGCTTCACAGCCGACAAAGGTCTCGAGGGAGCAAGGTGCTTCACCGCCAGCCTGGTATGCTCGTGCAGGTCGTGCTCTTCGAGGTCATCCTCCTCCTCCTCCTCTTTCTCCTCCTCCAACTCCTTCCTCCTCCCTCATCCCCTCTGCGCACGCGTCCTCGCCGTCGTCCTCCGAATGTCGCGGGCCGGGGGGGGGGGGACTATCCCTGAACCGGCGCTGGGCTGCTTGCCCTTAAGTCGGGCCTGTCCCTGTACAGGGGGAATATCCCAAAATGGTCAAAAAATCATGTGGGAACGATTTTCTTATTATGTTTGTCAATGTCTATGTATTTGTTGTTTAACTATTTGTTTCTCGTCCAAAATACCCTTGTATGAGGGCATGCCCGACCTAAGCTTACCCAGGACCAAACGAGCGAGGTTCTGGGGGGCGTTCTCGCCCATTCGCGGGCCCCCCAGAGCACATCCCCAGACAGGTCCGGGGGCCGACTTGTGGCCCTCGAGCCCAGGCCCCCTCGCGTCGCGAAGCAATAGCGACGGAAGATGTTCTGTTCGTTGTCGGCCCCATGGGACTCCTTACTGACCCCCGGTTCCGCCAAGCAGATAGTCGGATTTGCAAGCATTCTGTAGGAGTGGGTCCAAACCTCCAGCGCTCCACGTTGTGAAACAGTAGCACGGCGTCGAGAGTCTCGGCACGACCGCCCCCCCCCCAGAGCACCAGGGCGCCCCAAAGTGGCCCGAAGGATCCCGCAGACGCCCCCAGGAGTCCGCCGGGAGACTGTTCAGGAGGCCTCCCAAGACGCCGCCCCCCAGGTGCCGAGTTCAAGTCCTGCTCCTTCTGTTCCTCTCGTGCCTCTCCATCCGAGGCTCATCGAGTGCCCCCTCTTCCGCCGCACTCTCTTGCCTCCTCGTCCTTGTCCTCCTCGTTCTTCTCCTCCTCCTCCTTCTCCTCCTCCTCCTCCTCTTCCTCCCCCTCCTCCTCCTCCTCCTCCTCCTCCTCCTCCTCCTCCTCCTCCTCCTCCTCCTCCTCTCTCGCTCGCCCTCGCTCTGCAGCGTTCCCATCCGCGCTCGCGCACGACGGCGGCCGCCCGAGAGCGGCCGGCCCACCTTGAGTGGGGGGCCCCAAAGGACGCCATCGGGGGACCCCTTCCAGAGGGGGGAACCTAGGCTTATGTCGGGCGTGTCCCCCTACAGGGAGATTTTCGACGAAAAAGCATACACCAAAAATAATCAAACAACGATCCAAAGATAGTCTGGGGACTATCTGTTTAAGTTTTGTTTTACCTTTTTGGGGCATTTTTGGGGTATTTTTAATTCTTCGTCGAGAATCCCCCTGTAGGGGGACAGGCCCGACTTAAACCTAGGCTTCCTAGATGGGGTCGGAGTAGATGGGGGTCGGAGGATCGCGCCGCATCGCCGACGCATCGGTGATGCATCGGCGATGCGGCTCGATGTGGGGCCCATTGTTCTCCACTCCGACGTTGCGGATGTACCGCCGTCGTCGCCAGTGCATGGCCGATGCATCGCAGATGCATTGGCGATGCATCGCCGATGTATCGGCGATGCGGCGAGATCCTCCGACTCCATCTATTCGGACCCCATCGAAGAGGCCTCTAGGAAAGGGAGGAAGGGCTTAACCATGTTCTGAATTCGCTCGAGGATTAAGAAAGAGAAGGCCTCTCAACGAATGCTTTAATTGTACTTACCAGAGACGTAGGTAGTACCGTGTGGGTAACACGATACTCGAATTACCTTGTTTGTAAGGTCGGAAACGTAGTAAAAAAAATAACGCATCATTTCAACCTTGTGGTTCAGTAAGTATAAGTATCAGCGGCATCGACGTATCAGCCTTACGGATCATGTAGCAGTATCGTACACGGTTGGCACTTCGAAAACCATGGGAGTGAGGAACCGTTGTATCCACTACGGCCTAGTTGTCCTCCTCGGTAGGCTTCCCCGTTCCCTTAATACATTACTCTGCCTTCGCGCTGTAAAGGCAAGGCGTTCAGAAGCATGTTGAGGCCTCTCGGGCGTCTTTGAGGTGTGCCCAGGAAGACGGTGAGCTGCCAAGTTTGATAATCGGGGGCCGCCCCACAGCTTGACTCCCTGGGAACAGACTGAAGAACTCTGCGCCGCGCTTTGGGGGGAGCAGCGATGCAAGTTTGTGGCGTGGCAGTGCGGTGGCGGCGCTTGGTTGTTGCGTTGCCTCTTGGGAGTCTTGGTGCACCTTCTGGGTTTCTTCGGGGCCTCTCGAGGGCCTCCCAGAGGCCTTGGGATTGCCTTGGAGGGGAGTCTTGTGGGAACTGAATGTTCAACCGCGTTCCTGAGATCTGCCGGTGAAACTTCTTCGGGGGGACCATCTTGGGACGCTCCAGGTTCCCTCGGGCACCTATGGAAGCCTTGAAGGGCATGATTGGGGATTTCTTTGGCTGAGGTGAGCCACGTCGGGTACTATTTGCGTTATCGTGAACGCCTGATCGGGCCACATCGACCCAGCTTGGCATATCTTGGCCCGTTGTGGCGCTACCTTGGGGCACGACCTGTATTTGCGCGTGCGCTCCCGTGCTTCGGGGACAGGCAGAGCGGCACGCCACGAGACGCCCCAGGAGGAGGGGGCCCCGCGGCGGTTGAATCTTCCGTCGCAGCGTGAGTCTGTTGGAAGATATGCGGAAGTCGCTCCTCGTGTTGAGGCGCGTTGTAGCCGACGCTTGGTCTGACAGTGGTTGATACCCGCTGTTCGCCATAATCAAGGAATTGAGCCCACATTCCATCAGCCGAAGGTAACCGCATCGCCGGGATGATAAAGGATACCCCCCCTAGCCCCTGGTATCATGAATATCCCTGGGCAGCTCATTTTTGGTGTGCGGGCGGGGGCAGCGAGG